TGAACTTTGTTGGGAAAATGAGAAAACTGTCAAATTTCCCAAAATTTTCAAAACTGGCGGAGGTACTAGTGGTTTAAGTAAACGTAGCACAAATTTTATAAGTGTTTGATTTATGTGTGAAAGATTTGATGTAAACAAAAACATAAAAATAACGTTTAAACCCCAAAATATATTTTGAGGGCATCCACAGTTTTTAAAATCCGTCCCTTCGACAGTCCGATAAAGGGCTGAACATTTGGAGAGGGGGATAAAACCTCCCCAATCTTCAGCTAGACAACACTAACCGGTTCTTAATAAATATGAATTCAATAAATCATTGGCATAAAAAAACATTCAATTATAAAGGCGAAATCGATCTTATGAATTTGTCAGCTATTATATTTATCAAATGCTTAGGTATAGCTAAAGAGTCTTATAAATATTTCATTATCGCTTACGTTAACAAATCATTGAAGGAATGAAGGATATATAATGCATCTCAAAATTTGTGATGAAAGTAAGAATCTGATTAAATAAGATGCAACTTACTTATTTATAAAATAAGAAAAACCTCAAGGATAAATGTCTTTTAAAACGTAAACAGAACCGTACACGTGTTGATATCCTACGATTTCAAAAAATTATACAATAAAATGAAAAAAATATATAAAAAATAAAAAAATTATAATACAATAAGTTATTTTATATTTGATAAAAACGAGAATAAGTTGAATATAAGGAACTTGATGGTAATTTATATGACGTTGTGTAAAACACAAACCAATAATGTAAAAATTATAACAAAAAATGTGATATGTCTGAATCATTTAATTCTCATTTATTCAATAAATATATAAAATATCATTAATTTAGTGAATGAATTGTTTATGCAAGGAAGATGAGCAATAGCGAACTTCAGCAATCAAACAACATCATACATATGAGACCAGATAGTCGTGACCTCGAACCAAAAGCAGAATTGCATCACGAGTTTCACCAAATAAGAACACACCAAAACCTCATAATTGACAATGTTGGAATAGTCTCATCATCATCATCAACGAAGAACCAATGTTGATATCCTATCTGGCGCTCGGCGCCCAAACTCAAGATGGCAGATCCTATCTAGCCTACTCCACAATGCCGATGATGACGTCAACATCTCCCCGAAGTACGAGCAGATCTCGGCCAATGCCGCGCGCTTCAAGCACTAGGTATGTCTCTCATATCACGCACAACCTCGTTCCCCAACTCACATGCCACTTGCACCCAAGGACCACCATGCGCCCCATCCGGCATACAGCAGCGCAGCTCTGCTATGGCTGCCTGCTCCTCCCAGCTCGCCCGTGAGCGCGTGAGCCTGGCAGGCGATAGCGCAGCGGCGCTTGCGCACAAAGCAGCCAGTGCCCGAACGTCCAATGCGTGGGCAGGCCCTTCCCTATATCGAAGTGGCCTGCTGCTGCGTGCTGTGCTGCGGTACTGGGCCCCGGCCCAGAAGCTTCCGGTAGGGCCAAGGAGGCTGAGCCTCCGTCCGAAGGAAACAGGCCCAGTGCCTGAGGCGGTTATCAGCACCCAACTGCCCTCAGCCTTTGTTCGGTCCACTTGTGTATCCGGCCCAGGAGCTGCCTTAGTTTACATGTAATGAAGGAAGCCTGGGCCCGGGGTGCTTCCAACCAACTGGCGCTGCGCAACTGCCTGAATTTCCCCAGTTGTGTGATGACCCTGAAATGGCCGGTAGGCCTCGGTCGTGCCTGCCTTCACTTAGGGCGGCCTACTGTGTGAAAAGTGGGCCCTGAAGGGTATCCATATGATATTATTAGAATCTTCATTGATTTTGAAAAAATATACCATCACAAAAATGACCATTTTATAGATGATCATCCACAAAATACAACCTTTGCATCTAATCCATAAAAATGAGTCACCATGCTTTGCAACAGTTAAAGTAAGCAAAAATATTAATCAATCACATACTAGTCTCAAAGAGTTACTCGATAACGTCTATGAAGCAGGATACCTTGTTAACGTTTTTTCGCTTTGTTGCTAGGCTACCAACCGGGCCGCTCGGGTCCCAGGTGGCCAGCCCGCGCAAGGACCAGGGAAGGTCCCAACGAAAAAAAAAAAAAAAAAATACAAAATTCCAAAAAATGTTTAAAAATCCGAAAAAAAACTATGTTATGCAGAAAAATAAACTGAACAACTTTTGCCTCAGGGTCACATCGAAATTCTTCACCAAATTTAGAATATATATATATCGTCACAAACAGAACTGCCCGGTAAAACCGTAGGCAGAGAGAGAGAAGAGGACAACAAACGAGGGGCTGTGACAAACTGTTTCGTCGGAGTTTCACCGACTCATCAGGAGGCTGAACCCTCAACAGTCTGCAGAATC